TGTGTTTTGTGGCACATTAAGTAAAATGCACTGCTGCACCACGTGTCCTTAACTTGTGTTACTTCTAATATGTAGATGTTCAGAATGGAAATTGCAGAAATACAGGCAAACCATAATCGGGAAAAGGGTAGGACAAAGATTAGAAAAATGCATAACAATGATGAAATAGCTGTTGAGACTGGAAAAGGTTATGACTTGTAGATCACAGTACCCATGAAAACCTATCATTTGGGGAAAAAAGACATCTGCTAATAGTCCTACAGATGTAAACATGTCTGTAAAGAGTGTATATGACTTTACAAACAAAAAACAAATTTCATAGAATCCCAACAATGTGGGAGCAACCGTTTGGCCCATCAAATCCAACCCTCTGAAGAGCATTCCACACAGACTCACCCCATCCCTATAAGCCTACATTTCCCATGGCTAGTCCATCTACACATCCCTGGACACCGTGGGCAATTTAGCATGGCCAATCCACCTAACCTACACATCTTTTGGACTATGGGAGGAAACTGGAGCATCCAGAGGAAACCCACGCAGACATGTGCAACCTCCATACAGTCACACGAGGCTGGAGTCAAACCCGGCTCCCTGATGCTGTGAGGCAGCGCTGCTGACTACTGAGCCACCATGCCATCAATTTATCTCCTGTGTGTACACAAAATGGCAACAAACAACGTTAAAAATGTATGTCTTTGTCTTCCAATAATACTTGTTAGAGTGGGTACAAATATCTCTTGTCTGTGTCACCATTGCATTATGTAATTTAGGCTGACTGACTCTTTGTTTGTCACCCATTCCTGAGGTTGTGAGTAAAATATATGGCTATTCACTTGCAAAAGAGATTTTGAAAGTTTTATTGGTTTTATGGATGCATTTCTCAGTTCCTATGTTCTTTTTAAACTCCCTTTAGGGTTTTTGCTTCACACTTGGAGCCTTAGGCTGGGTTTGAACTCAGGCTGAACCTGAGCATTCACAGCTTCAGTCTTCTTTCAACCCCAGACTGAACTTTCATTCCATGACTTGTTTGTCATGAAGAACAATTCTGCAGCTGACCCTTCCTCAATTCCTCCAGTGCTCTAGTCCTTCTTCAAGCTGATATCACCTTTGGGTCCGGCTACTGGAATCATGTCATACAATCATAAAATTGTCGATCACAGAAGATTCCTATTTGAAATTCTTGCACCCCAGTATTTTCTTCAGAACCCTGTAAATTACAAACCGAAAGAACTGTAGACGCTTGTAAATCAGAGACAAACATAGAAATTTTTGGAAAAGCTCAGCAGGTCTGGCAACATCTGTGGAGAGAAACCAGAGTTAACGTTTCGGCTCCGTTCTGAGGAAGGGTCACTCAACCCGAATCGTTAACTCTGATTTCTCTCCACAGATGCTGCCAGACCTGCTGAGCTTTTCCAGTAATTGTTCAACTATGTTTTGAAAATTCCCATGGAGTTTGATTCCACTTTCTGAGTACAAGATCTTAATAACATTCAGTATGAAGACTTTTAACTTGAGGTCCCGTCTTGTTCTTTAGCCAATTAGTTAAAATCCGAGACCTTGGCTGCGAGTAACTCGCTGAAGGAAACAATTCCCCAAGACAGAAAAACTTCTCATAATGTAGGACATTTCCATTAGATGTCACCTTAACACTCTCTGTCCTGAAGAAAACTTCTCTAATCTTTCCACACGATTAAGCCATCCTTGTTGTGAAGAATTGATTGCCTCTGCAATATCGCCATTGCTTTGATGTCCTTCCTCTTGTGGTGCCAGAATTGGACACAGAAATCCAGTTGAGGGCTAACCAATGGTTAGTAAGTTATAGGATGATTTTCTTGATGAGTTTCTTGTTTCTGCTTTCATTGCTTCTACCCCATCGCTTCAATTTTATCCAGTTCAATATCCATTCTCAATGTACGGTACCTCTGACTGCAGCCTCCTGTTTACTCCCTACCCTCAATTAGAAAGCCTAAGTTTCCTTGGAACAATAAAATTTTCTGTATATTCATCTTTATTATCTTCTTTGAATCCTTCTCAAAACACATTCCTTTGACTTAACTAGCTTTTGAGTTCCACTCAAAATTCTTATTGCTTGGCTTAGTATTCATTTCAGGTACATCACCTTTTTGAGATATGAAATTGCAGCATCCCCTGCTTTTGCAGATGGATGTACAAAATGTTGTGAAAACATTTGGAAGGTGAGCATGGGAGTTATTTCTAGTATGCTGGCCAATATTTATCTTCCAATCAACATTATTAAATCAGATTATGTGGGCATTGCTGTTTGGGATTTAATTAGAATTCAATAAGGATTTGATTGACTTTAAAACTCTTTGGAACTTTCTGTGGTCATGCAAGACACTAGAATCCTTGTTTGTCTTTCTGCATCTGTGTGAAACATCTTAAGTTATTTTTAAAAGCACTCTATGAATGCAGGTTATTTTCTAGAAGATATTTTGCATCATTTTTGAATTTGAACCCAGAGACATGTAACTAGTGTGAAAATCAACAAAACCGCCTAACAGATATCAGAATTTTGGGTGCTGGTGAGTTTTGTGGGCAAGTATAAGATGCTCAGAATTCCGCAGTCTTTTTGGTCCTCGACAAATCCCTCGGCCTCAATGTATCACTACTCATAAAACTGGTCATAGTCCAAATTTGCAAAAATGGGTGTCCTGCAATTGTGCTTAATTCACAGTCTCTATAAATTGCAATCATTTACTGGATGTACAGGCACTTTTCATCACCTATAGTCGGCCCAAATCAGCTGACCCAGGAAGGATTGAATGTATTATCCTCCCTTGCGACTGCAGAGAGCCATTTTCCACTCAGCTGCATGATAAAATCAAACTGTAGCACTTGTATAGTTTAAGGTATTTGCAAAAATTTGTAGCTCGGGTTGTGGGTGAGGTTGTTGACTTGCTCGCCGAGCTGGCTTGTTTTCGTTCAAACATTTCGTCATCATGCTAGGTAACATCATCAGTGGAGCCTCCGATGAAGCGATGTTGTTCTACTCTGCTTAGGATTTATGCTGCCTGATCTGCTATGGTGAGTTGTGTCATTTACAGTTCTATTTTGTATGGGTTTGTATATGGAGCCCAATTCTATACGTTTGTTGATTGAAGTATGGGTGGAGAACCATGCCTCTAGGAATTCCTGTGCATCTCTACGTTTGGCTTGGGCTACTATGGTTACGTTGTCCCTAGCCATCAGAATACATGAACATCGGCTAGCAGCAAAGCGATACCACAAACTTTCACTAATATCAGCACACTTGGACAATGAAGGCCATCAGTTTAACTGGGACAAGGTAACCATTGTAGCCCAAGCCAAACATTGACACACACAGGAATTCTTAGAGGAAACCCATAATGCAATCAACAAACATATAGAATTAGACCCCATATCCAAACCCATACAGAACAGAAGCATAAATGACACAACTCACCATAACAGATCAGTCAGTATAAATTCCAAGCAGAGTAGAACAACATCGCTTCATCGGAGGCCTCACCAATGATGTCACCGAGCGTGGTGACTAAGCGTCTGAACGAAAACAAGCCAGCTCAGCGAGCAAGTCAACAACATCACTTGTCTCGTTTTATCCTTGCTTTAAACAATAACGGAGGAAAAGGAAAGGTAGCAGATTCAGGAGATCCCAAGAATGAACCACCATGAGTGGAGACAGCACCCCACTGGGCGATACACCCAGTCCAATGAGTATACAGATCTTTACTGCCTCCTAAGGAATATCTGAGGACTTGAGCGTGTGTTGGCTCTGCTTCACAGAGGACTGTATGCAAGATGATTTAAAGTTAGGTCCCAAAGTTGCATGTTTGGAGAAATGCATTTTGTCATGACCCAAGTGGGAATTGAGCCTTATCATTCCACAAGCCACAACAAATGTGTGTGAATTTCATTTAAACCACAGGAATTAATTTAGCTGACCGACTAACTGCAGAAGTAATACATACCAGGTTTTGTCATAAACACAAAAAGTAACCCTTTTATCATAAATACTTATACTTTAGCAAAATGTCAAAGAATCATAGAATTGAATTCCTACAGTTCAGAAAGAGACCATTTGGCCCATCAAGTTTATACCAATCCTCTGAAGAGCATCCCACCCAGACCCAGCCCCAGCCCCCTACCCTATCACCATAACCCACATTAACTATGGCCATCCACGTAGCCTACACATCCCTGAACAATTTAACACAGCCAATTCACCTAAACTGCACGTCTTTGGACTGTTGGAGGAAGCTGGAACACCCAGTAGAAACCCAAACAGACATAAAGAGATGTGAGGGTGGTGGAGGCAGTTATGATGGGGGCGTTTAAGAGACTTTTAGATAATCACATGAATATGCAAGGAATGGAGGGATATGGACCAAAGGCAGGCAGAAGGGATTAGTTCGACACAAAATAACAGGCTGAAGGGCCCATTCCTTTACACAGAACATAGAACAGTACAGCACAGTACAGGCCCTTCGGCCCACAATGTTGTGCCGACTTATTATCCTGCATACCCTACGTTATACTATCCTCCATGTGCCTATCCAAGAGTCGCTTAAAAGTCTCTAAAGCATCTGGCTCCACTACCACTGCCAGCAGGGCATTCCACACACCCACCACTCTACTGTTCTATGTACTATCTTCCACACAGTCACTCGCCCAAAGCAGGAATTGAACCTAGGGCCCTGGTGCTGTGAGGCAGCCGTGTTAGCCACTGAACCATCCCCAGAAGACGATGGATTGTTAATAGCTAAATTATTACTCATAAACTTAAACTATTTCTGTTTTTTCCTAATGCACACTCATTTATGGATAACATAAAGGACAGATAGTTTGACTCAAATATTATGGGCGGGAATAAATATCTTGTGGGAAACACAGTTTTGTATCACAAATCCAAACCACAAAAGTTGTTTTTACAATTCTTGTCAATTATGGCATGATGTTGTCTGCAAAGTGACAGTCTCTTCATATTTTATTTACAGATTTACACGCTACCAGGAAAGGCCTCATTAGCCAACAGCCACAGTTTTAGTCTGTGTCTACTTCTAGGTATCTTTTAAATTAATGTGAGCTGAGATGTGAATACATGCCTCTGAAGCGAGTGAGACTCGAACCCAGTCTTTCTGGTTCAGAGGTAAGAACACTATCACTGCAACACAAGAGCCCTGCAATGGCCAGTCTTTAACTTACTTGTTGATTGGTCTGATCTGGGGTCTTTCCTTCTCTTTTATGTTAGAATTCTTTCTTTTTATGTCTTTGAATGTAATCTTTTCCTGTTCTTTTGACAGTGCGTGGGAGAGAACACTCAACAGAGAAAGGAGACATAAAGATGTCATTGCAGTCAGTTCCTGGTGGTTTTTGTTTGCATTTCACTAACAGGGTCTGTGTTAAGCTGCAAACAGACCAATCAGAAGACTGTTACCATGCTGAACTCCTATGAACACAGTAACAGATGGTGCCATCTGGATTTGCTGTCCTAAAAATGTAAAACTGTCTCATATGTATCATTCTGAGCTTATTTTTTTCTAAGTTGCAGTTTCCTATTTTTATACCTATTTTTTAAAGCAGTGTCTGTTTTTCTTATTTTCAGTCCGCAGTCCAAAATAAAAGACGTAGTCTTTACAATTTATCATGATACTATGCACTTGTGTTTGCCATAGTCATATGACATCTTCTGTAATAGATAACACAGTGTGGACCTGGAGGAGCACAGCAGGCCAAGCAGCATCAGAGGAGCAGGAAAGTTGACGTTTTGGGTCGGAACCCTTCTTCAGAAAAATTTTGTACACTATTATCTCCGACTCCAGCATCTGTAGTTCTTACTATCACGGACATCTTCAGTAAATTGCTTTTACTTTAGAACAGGTAGCCATTAAATACAACATGAAAAATAGTTTCAGAAGTATGCAGTTGAAATTGTGTGGATGTTCACAGCTATAAGAGAACTTCAGTAAGACAGAATTAAAAATATAGTCTGCAACTTTGAATTACTGGTTGAGTCAGAATGGCTGTGAATCTCCCTGTCTCTGCTTCTGTGTAATGGAAAGGACATATGAGATGAATTGGATTTCATTCCAGTCTCAATGACAAATTTATGAAATAGCTACAGAATTAAACAAGAAACCAGAACAGCTGAGAGTAGCTGCTGTATGCTGGGAAAACATGCCACAAGCTGTATTGAACCCAAGATTTCACTAAGAAGCATAAAAGCCATACTGGAGAAATGCTAAAGGCCCTGAAGACGGATTTTGAATTCTCAAATAATGTTACTCATCAAGTGGCATGAGTTCAATGTCAGAGCTTGTGGGTGAGGGAGAATATTGATCAGTATATGATGGCACTGATATATTGAGCGGAATCCTATGAATTAAGGCAACTGAAAAAAGATAGGTTCTTTTAGGCATACGAGATCCCACTGTGACAGTATGTCTACCTAGAGAGGAGAAACTTATTGTCAAGGAAAAAGATAGGTTCTTTTAGGCATACGAGATCCCACTGTGACAGTATGTCTACCTAGAGAGGAGAAACTTATTGTCAAGGAAGCTATTGACATGCCAGAAATTCATTGGTTGTCAGTCATCAGCCATACAGTATTGAGAGGCAAGGGTCAAACGTTTGCATTATGCATAGAAACATTCTAGGCCTAACAAGAAAAGCATTATGGAAATAAAAGAAAAAATATTTGTGGAAGCGTTCACAGAAAACTAGCAACCGGAGGCAAAATGTATATATTGCAGAAGAAATGGAAGCATGTCCAATGCTGGGAAAGCAACTAACTGCAAGAAGTTGAATTACTTTTCGGTCCTTCCTCAGGATAGGAGAGTCCAAAACTAGAGGTCATAAGTTTAAGGTAAGAGGGGAAAGATTTAAAAGGGACCTGAAGGGCAACTTTTTCACACAGAGGGTGGTGTGTATATGGCACAAGCTGCTAGAGGAAGTGGTGGTGGCTGGCACAATTACAACATCTAAAAGACATCTGGATGGATACAAGAACAGGAATGGTTTAGAGGGATATGGGTCAAATGCTGGAAGATGGCACTAGATTAATTTAGGATATCTAGTTGGCATGGAAGAGTTGGACGGAAGGGTCTGTTTCCATGCCATACATCTCTATGACGTACGCTTTTAGCTAGAAATAAGCAAAGCAAGGCTATAAAGCTGACTGCTGGAGAGATGTCAAATGAGGATTCTCATTAATCACTCTACACTACAGAACAGGTTAGCAGGTGTTAAATTGTTTGTGACTATTTAGATGAAAGCCACAGAGGGAGAATATCAAGTAAATGTGAAGTGTCAGATGGACACTAGTGCATCTTGCTACATCATGAGCCTCACAGACCTAATGCAACGTGACTCAACAAAAATGAAAATCTCAAAGATAAGATTGAGGCTATATGGTGGAACAACACTCATTCTGAGAAATCAAAAGAAACTGACAGCCTAATATATTGATAAGAATGAAGATCTGTAGTTCCAGATATTTTAGATTGTAAGCAAAATCCACTAATGTCAGCTGAATAAAGAATAAAGCATGGGCAGGTAGCAGGAGAGATTTTGCAGTTTACTATGTCATTGACTGCTGAACAGATTCTAAAAGATTACAACGATGTTTTATTTTCAAACCTTGGATGTCTTCCTCGTGACTATCATCTCAAAGTAGGTGAGAGTGTGAGACTAATCAATTTTGCTAAAGAAAGTTCCAGTTGCCCTCAAGTCTACCATGAAAGTCAAGATAGATTATTTGGAAAAAAGAATAAGCAAGAAAATGACATCTCCAACAGAATGGATCAGCAGCAGTTAAAATAAAACTGGAAAATGATTGTATGTACGGATCCAAAGCATCCCAATAAAGCTTTGAAGACAACTCACTACCCTGGGCCAAACTTTCTTCAAGTCTGGCCCAGGATAGTGAGTTATCTTCAAAGCTTTATTGGGATGCTTTGGATCCATACAGACAATAATTTTCTAATCATTACTAAGGCAAAGGTCTTTAGTACCCCATGTGCCACGGATGGTTATTGGCAAGTGAAGCCAAATGAAAGCAATAGTTTTCTAAGATAGTAGGAACTGCAGATGCTGGAGAATCTGAGACAACAAGGTGCAGGGCTGGATGAACACAGCAGGCCAAGCAGCATCATAGGAGCAGAGAGGCTGACGTTTCGGGCCTAGACCCTTCATCAGAAAAGGGGGAGGGGAAGGGGGTTTTGAAATAAATAGGGAGAGAGTGGGAGGCGGATAGAAGAGGGATAGAGGAGAGGATAGGTGGAGAGGAAACAAACAGGTCGAAGAGGCGGGGATGGAGCCAGGAAAGGTGAGTGTACGTAGGGAGTTAGGAAGGGGATAGGTCAGTCCAGGGAGGACGGACAGGTCAAGGGGGCGGGATGAGGTTGGTCGGTAGGAGATGGAGGTG